GACAAGTTATCCTGTTCCATGGACAAGTTATCCTGTTCCATGGACCCTGAAGGCAAAATTGATACGCCTATTAAACTCTGATATTTTATACATTTCCAGAGACATGGAAATAATAATTGTGATAATAAACCATTTACTCATGACAGGGAAATACGAGATGTGAAAAAAGTTTCCATCAAGATTTTTCAATGAACATCACAAGTAGGCAGTGAAAACTTAAACAGTACCAGTCAAAAGAAATTAAGGATATGACGTTAACCCGTGCATAGTCTCTCATGTCTTTGTCGGAGCGGGCGCAACACTTGGCTGAGGGTGAGAGCTGAGCAGTGACCTTCATTCATAGGGAGCTGCATAACTCAATTCCCAAATGTGCAACTTCCAGAGGCATCTCAAGTCCATATTTCAAGTATTAGAAGAGAAAAAAACCTATTCTGGTAGGGATTTCAAGAGCTTCAATGGATAAATGGCTCCGTAAACTTTTACAAGATTTTAGTTGCTCATTGTGCTCAAACACTGAAAAAAAATGGGGAAAAATTAAAACCAAAGAAAACGAGGGGGGGAGGGGGAAGTGGCAGATAAAATATTTTGGTTTCATCCATTCTAAATAGGACTCCAAAAGCCACATAGTCATTCGGCTATGCCATATGTGGCCCCTTGGGTCACAGGTCTTTGACCCTATACAAAATTGCCTTAAGCTCATTTCTCCTACAGATGCACATAGAGAAATAGAAAATACTCCAATGTGGTCTTTTTAATTACTCACAGAATGCAGTTTGCATATGCCGGGTCCCTGTAACACGCATTTAATAATAGATTATTTCTACCAATCCTCTTTTTACTGACTCATTACAGCCATTCATTTTTCTTGTTGAGACTTTCCAACTGTCATAGATGCAGGGAAACAGGAAGTTTACGAGATGCTAAGGGTAACATTTAGCATCTAAAATTTTAACTAATAAGCATATACATATACACACAGTACACAAATTACCTAACTATACTTTCAGGGGATGAAGCTGAAACAAACAAAAATAACAAGCAGGATGGAAATCAGACTTCCTTTATCTATCATCTATCTATCTATCTATCTATCTATCTATCTATCTATCTATCTATCTATCTATCTATCTATCTATCTATCTATCTATCTATCTNTACCTTAAATATGCTTTTAAAGTATTGCACATTGATCAGATTCTCCCTTCCCTACAAAGTCTATATTCTTATTTTCCAACATCTCCCAAGGAAGCAATTTTTGCTCATCCTGTTTTCATACGGTATTTCTCTACGTTTTCCCCGTGATTTCTACTTCTACTCCATTTCCTTAACAACACATTTTACCTGGGTCATATATCATATCATGCACAATAGTCCGTGTTGCATAGAGCACTCAAAATGTCAAATTTAATAAAAAGAAATGTATATAAAAAGTTCATGTTACGAGGCCACTGCAGTGTTACATTTTCTATATTAAATTGTGCAACACCCCTTTGTACTTTCCGTCAGTTGTGTGACTGTTGTTTTTTAACGAGGCTGCTATTTTGCAATCCTTTTACTTCTAATTATGAATACAGTTGATTCCTTTGATGTTCTGAAGCTCAACGTAATGCGTGGTGACAAAATGCATGTCAGTTGCAGACAGCAATTAAGCTATTTTCTTCAAACAAGGAAAGAAATAAGGAAGCAATGATATAATATAACACTGTGTTTTGTTACACAGTGGATGTCTAGGCTTCAGGACTTACAAATGGAGTCCAATTGTTAAGGTTTTTTTTAAAGATTTAATAAACATTTCATTATATTTAAAGAAATAAAATAGCATTCTCTATATTGCACCTTCCTCTTATTAAATTCTACATGAGATATTTCTAGAACAGTTAATTTCTCTTTTGAAAAATGCAAAGGGATTTTTGTTTCACCAGCACTTTATTAAAACAAGTATTGACATTCTATCAGTATTAAATCATCATTGGTATCCTAACATTTGGATCATTCTTGAAACATAGAGAGATGTTTTTGTGTTTGTAAATATAATTATTCTTGTCAATGTTTATTAAAGGGATTTAAAAATCCTTTAAAATATACCCCACAAAGGGATATATGACTTTCTAGGAATGAAAAGAAAAAATGTTAATGGAGTGGGGTGCAACGAGATTTATGTAGATTTGAAAAATGTATTCATTACCTCCTCCCCCCCCCAAAAAAAGCACTGAATTTTAAGAACATTTGTTGGAGTTTTCTTAAAAGATTCAGAAATCAATGCTTTCAAGTAATAATCATATTTAGTTTAAATTATGGTTCTGACTCATTAATTGAGACCCTTGATAATAAAGACAAAAAAGCATACATTTTTTTGAGAAAATTACTGTCACATTTACTGTCATCCCACCAAATTGTATAGCAATCTTAAAATGTATAAATATGTCATTACCTAAAGTTCCATTTGATTTTGAAAGTTATCTCATTAATTAAGCAGCATTTTTCACATTTAAAAAAGGCTGAATGTATTTACCATAATTCTATACATCCTCTCAATAAGGGATAAGAATAAAAAATCATTAAAAAGAAAACAAAGATTAAGTATTACAATAAAAATATTTTTTTTTAAAAAGTTCATTGCAGGTCCTAAACTACAGACTTTGAGGGGTGATAATGAGTGGGATACTCAAGACCCATCTCTGATTATGGGGTGAGAGGAAGNGGAGTCCTTCGGGAGTGGGCGGCATACAAAACCAATAAACCAAACCAAACCAACCAACCAAACCAATTTGGATCACCTGGGGATGCTGCAATTGTCATAAGTCTGAAAACCGGTCATAAGTCACTTTTTCAGTGCTGTTGTATCTTCAAACGGTCACTAAATGAATCATTGCAAGTTGAGGACTACCTGTATAAATGAATTGTGAGAAGAGGCAGAGTCTCTCTTGCTCTGCTTCTGACACAGAAGAAGATCAAAATACACCATCCTCCCTGAACTAGCCACAGTTATACTAGTATTTGCTGACTAGCAAATTATTTGTGGACTTACTTAAAAGTAAGTTGCTTTGGATAAAATAAGTATAATCTGAATGGAGCTAGTTAAGTTCACTTAGCTTCCTTGATATCGAGCTATAGCAGATATTTATATCTGAAAACATTGGGGACTTTCATTGAAAAGTCAGTCAAATCTGGAAAAGGTAACTTACCATCCAGGATTGCCCATTGCCCATCTATCTCTGTGTGCTTCAGATAGGAATCTTCGATCGTTGGGTCATAATCTGGCACAAAGATTTTCTGGAAAAACTGAATGGTGAGGGCACTTTTCCCGACACCCCCATCTCCAACCACCACTAATTTGTAAGTGGGCAGGTTCTCACTTGGCACAGCACTGGTAGCCATGGTGTCCACTGGGCCAAATCTGGAACAGAAACAGCATGTTTGAAACAGTGTTGATTGGCAACAGCATGTTGACTGCTATTATAAAATGTGTAACCTGTCATCCGTTCAAATGCAATTGAAATAAAATATCAAAGCAAACTTTAAAAAATGCAATGACACATTATTTTAAAAAATACTTCAAAGTCCAACTTAAAGTAGAAAGAACGGGAATCATACAATGACAATTTTGTCACTTGGGAGTAAAAATACGGCTTCAGCAACAGAGTGGTCAACGCCTGGAATGCTCTACCTGGCTCTGTTGTTGCATCCTCAAACCGCCACAGCTTCAGTCTTAAACTGTCTACTGTAGACCTCACCCCATTCCTAAGAGGTCTGTAAAGGGGCGTGTAGGCACCAGTGTGCCTACCATCCCTGTCCTACTGACTCCATTTATTTGTATTCATTTATTTTGTTTATGTCCATGTTTATATTTATACATGCTATCTTGTACATGTTTGACAAACTAAATAAATAAATAAAATAAAAAATAAATAAAACAGAAGAAGCTCTCTTTCTCTCTCCTAGAGTCCATTATACTTCAGCTTAGATTGCTGCAGTCAGGATTTCAACAACTGTTGCATGCCCTGATACCGTGTCTTATTTTCTTTTGCCCCACAAAATATGGCCTTGGGCTTATTATAGGGGCAGGGCTTATTGTTTTGGGTTGCCGGGCAGCTGCTCACTTGCGAACTGGCTCCCGAAGAGCCAGGCACAGGGGCGAAGCAGCCATGAGGTGACCANGTGAGTAGAGTAATTAGTAAGTTAGGATATATGACTTGAGTTTTACAATGTATTTAGATTATATGAGTAATTGGTAAGTTAGGATATACGACTTGAGTTTTACAATGTATTTAGATTATATGAGTAATTGGTAAGTTAGGATATACGACTTGAGTTTTACAATGTATTTAGATTATATGAGTAGAGTAATTTAGAATAATTAGAATACGAAAGACTTTTTGGGTATAAGAAAGGACACAGTATATCATTGAGTTTCTGTAGAACTTTCCCTCCTGTGTCTCTCGTGCATTGGTTTGGAACTTCTTACCCAGAACTTTAACTTTGATCAAAGAATAAAGTCTGTTTTCTCTGTTTTTCAAGCCTCCCTTTAAGTCTTCCTTTTGGTTCACTTTTGGCTTTAAGCGTATTGCCAAACCTTACAGACTTCGGACCCTTCCCGTCGAACAGCTGGGACTCTGCTCTCTCTCTCTCGGGCTCCCGCAGCCCTCCTTTGGATTGCAGGCGGAGTCAAAGTGCAGGCATTCCCACGGGTCTGCAAATACGAGAAGCAGGTGTGCGGTGCTCGCTCTAACGACCGTCGTCAAGCTGACGAGACACCATCGATATCACACACGGGGTCCCGCGTGGAAGGTGGTTCCCGCACGCTCGCTCGCCTGCCTGCCTGCCTTCCACGGGGGAAGCGAGCGGGCGGGCGGGCGCCTCCGGAACCTTCTTCTCCCTGGCTCCCGTTTCCCTGGCTGTCGCGGGGGAGCCCTTTGAGGGGAGCACAGGGAGGGGAGCGGAAGGAAGGAGCGCCCAATAACAACACGCCGGCGCCTCTCCGCTGTCATCGAGCCCAGGCGGGGGATGAGGAGGTCGCGGGAGGAGGAGAAGCGCCGGGCTTCGCAGCGCGGAGCTTTTGGGAGCCAGGTAAAGGTGCCTCTCTTCATACGCCCCTGAGGGCATCTGCTCTGCAGAATAGATGCATGTCTGAGAATGGGAGCGTTTATTATTATTAAAACATAACACAACATTATGTTTATTATTATATTATGTTATATTATATTATATTATTATAATATTATTATTAAAACATAACATAGCATGTTTATTATTATATTATATTATTATAATATTACTATTATATTATATAATAATAATAACATTAAAACATAACATNGGAGGGTAGTAAGGCTCCGAATCTCCACGGGAAGATCGTTCCAGAGGGGCAGAGCAAATCAATTCCCCTTCTTTATATAGAATGTTTAACTTAATTTTTCCGCTTAGTGAATTCGTTATAAGTTATTATGTTATTATGCATAAGTGACTGAATAGGCACTACCATTCCTTCAACTGCTATGCCCACAGGTTGTTGTTATGTTTAATAATCTGGTGCATTCCTGCATAATTTATCTTCTAGTAACTGCACAAATAATTCTGACATTTTCAGGCAGATGTAAGGAATACGCAAAGGCCATTGTTGGCCTTTGATCTCTGTCAATGAACTCTTCCTAGCTTTACCCCACCCTCCAAAACTGAACCCCTTGATTAGCCTGGCCCCACGATAACAATATTTTTTGCTCCATAAGACACACTTTTTGATCCCCACAAGCTGAAGAGAAGGGACTTGAACTTTCACTTGGGTGGGAAAATCTGGAAGCTTTCAGATTTGGGTTTTCCCAGATGAACCAATATGTCATCTCAAATAAAATGGAACTTTCGGGAAATTCATGCCTTGGAGTCTTTGTTCGTTGGGGATGTTAACTTGGAATCTTGACATTAACCCGAATCTGAAAGCTTCTTAACATTCCACTGCTTATAGGTGCTTTCTGGTAGGGCATATGAATCTATTGAACTAAGGTTACTTAAGAGTATTTTATCATGTTTTACAGGAAAATCCAGTTTCTATACAGAATTCTTGCTGAACCGCCAATACTTCTTCATTCAGGAAGATAAAGCTGACGACAACTATTATACATGACAGCTTTTACAAATGAAAGTGGTTTCAAGCTCCTGAAGTCAAAGGCCCATGGCAATGAAAAATATATTAATTCTGTCACCAGGCTAAGAGAAATACCTACAAGAATCTTCCTAGAGATACGTCTTTGCCTGTTGTCTTATTAAAATACGGTACTCCCAAAGATATAGGTCTCTTGACTGCAAATAAAATGGAGGCCTTAGAAGTTGATGATATTAGTCCAGCCTTGGAGGTGACTGAAGACTTCTTCAGTTCCTTTGATGCTAAGCTGGAAAATGTGCAGCCACTGGAGGTTTATGGTGTTCAGGAGATTCCGGAACTGGTTGGATGTGACGCATTTAATAAAATCACAGCCTGTGAAGATTTAAGAAACATTGCTTCTTTAGGGAAGAATAACGTCGTTTGGGCACACTGCAAAAACGGAGTTCCAGAAACCAAAGTAGAGACTGCATTTCCTGCCAAAGAACAGTTTAGAGTGCAAAGAAGAACGGTTCCAGATAATCTGTCCTGGGTCGAACAGGGAGATGCTTCGACTTTTAATATCTTTAACATCTGCCAGAGGAGGAAGGATCGGCCCCGTTCTGTGAATGATGTTATAGTCCAAAATGAGGAAACTTCCTCTTTCAAGCCAGGCCATAACCGGTCACATTCTGATATTAGTCACATAAATTGGAGTGTCATCTTCAGTAATGCCTCTCCACAACAGCTGTCTAACCAGGCGAGCCAGTGCTCTAAACATTCATTTACACCAACTGGATTCAAAAAGGGGAAAGATATTCAAGGGAACACTGGTAAGTGCTAATATTTTGCTCCAACTCTAACCATTTCTTTTTGAAAGAAGAACGAACTGTTTAGGACGGGGGTTTCCAACCTTGGCAACTTTTAAGACTTGTGGATTTCCCAGAATTTTCCAGCCAGCATGGGGAATTCCACAAGCGTGGCTGACTGGGAAAATCAGGAAGATGAAGTCCACAAGTCCTGATTCTGGGAGTTGAAGTCTTCCAGTGGCCAAGGTTGGATACGCCTGATTGACACTACAGCACTGATTTCTGGATTCAGTTTTTAATTCCACTGTATATTCTTTAAATGAAAGAAGCAAGCGATACGAATACATGTTGAAGGATATACTGAAAAAGAGAAAGGAAAACTCCTTGTCAAAATCTTATAGTATAAATGTATAATTGTGCAAAGCTTTCATACTCAATCCAATAAAAATGCAGACACCACTTCTGTCCTAGTTCATGTATATACTTTGTGACACATGGAAATTATTTTTCATTGAGTGTTTTTATTACATTTATATGCTTTCCATCTCACTCTGCAAAGTATCTAAGAGCAAAAAAGGAAATTGCTGGATTGTTTTTGTTTCTCGTTATTTTCATTCTTAATTTCTTTCAAGTGGCCAAATAGTTAACATTCCGAGAAGATGTTTGCTTTATGCTTGCTTCCAAACTTTCTGTCTTGTTGCTGTTTGGAAATTCTTGCTATTGTAGCAAATTCCTGGTAGTAAAAACTCAGCAGTATTAAACTGAGGGAGCAGTGAGCCAAGAAGGGTTAGGGTTAGGTTAGGGTTAGGNTTCTTTTCACATCCAGAGAAATATTCTGCCTTTTCAATATTTCCTAGGATATTTCATTTTTCTGGGAGAGGGCTGGGTGATAACTTCCCACATGTTCTTAGCATAGATGTTTCATTGGTCACTTAGTAGGCCTTGTTTTGTGGGACATCTTCCCATTGATTAGAAATATCATATTTTTAATATCATAAATTTCCATACCAGACAAGTGCAGGATCCCACAATAAATGTTACCTTTACAATAATTTTCGTTTGTTTGATTTTGTTATCTTTTACAGTACTTTCTTTCAGATTATATTAAATATAATCCCTAATGACGCACTAAACATCTAATGTTGTCATAGGGCAAGCATGCAAGATTCCCAAGAATCTATTCATAGAAACTAACGTTCTATTGAATGCAGCAGATACAGGCGGTTTTGCCCATAATGGACATTGAAATGGAAGCCAATGGACATCATGGGACCCTTATTTCATATAGAGTAGTAATGGCGCAGCCAGGAATTCAGCAGGAAAAAACAATGAACATCAAAGGCCAAATGGAGGAACCCCAAGGAAGATAGTACTAATTGCTCAGCCTCAATTCATAAACATTGCATGGGGCATTTCAGAAACTGAACATGGTGGATTTGTACTTTTTATTTGTTCATTGCATTGCTGCAAGATTGGGAATATTGCACAACATCAAT